TGGTCCCCTCCGTCCCGCTCCTCCGGGCTGCCCGTTTCCATGGCAGCGGGGCGGGCTGGGATCTAGCTGGAAGCGGCGGCTTCGGGAGCGCGGAGCTCCGGGAGCAGGGATGGACACATCACCGCTGACCTGAGGCACAGGGAGAGGACACAGGTGAGGACACGGCAGTGGAAGGGGCAGAGCTGAAGGCACCGCAGTCTCGGGGCTCCATCACCAGCTGGAGCTCCAAGCTCTCCCTTCACTTCCAAGATCCAGGCACCAAAATGTCGCTTAAACTTACCAGTTTGCCAGAGTGGGGGAACCACGCATCTCCATGGGGAAGAATCCCCGGGGACAGGCAGGTCTGAGCCCTGCACCTCCTCGCTCCAAGCCCTGCAGCTTCCCAGATTTTTTATCTCCAGGGTGATCAAATTTGGCTACCTTAAAGTGAGAGCTAGCACCTCCCAAACCTCCTCTCAGCTTTCCCAGCCCTCATGCCTCCAAAGAGCATCCTGAGGGAGGCCAAACCAGGACACAGCCCTCCCTACGCACATGTCCAGGAAAAAACACTTCAGTTGCTACCCTGGCTTTTTTTATAGAAGATTTCAGTTGTTTTTAAAATAATCTGTCCAATGAGAGAGAATCGCCTTAAAAACACCCACTGTGAACCCCCTGATCAGATTATCCTGGAAGCAGAGAGGTAGCTTTGCAATTTGACCCTGGACTGCTGTCAGGAACAGGACAAATAAAACAATTATAATCGTGTTTCTTCTGCAGAGGTGAGGGTAGAGAAATTAAATACAATAAAATCCTAATGTGCTCCCAAGCTGTAATGCCTCAGGCTGAGCTCTGACTGACAGGAGGCCAGGAAACCTTCCCGAGCTGTTTAGCCAGAGATCCCAAATTAAAAATACATCCAAACGATGCTCTCTGCTCCTGCAGCCCCACTGCAAACCCACAATTCCAGGTTTATTTTTATTCCTCAGGTCTGGGTTGCTTTGCCTCTATATTGATCTGGCATCGCTGCCCTCAGCATGGCTGGAACTGGATGGGCCTTAAGGTCCCTCCCAACCCAACCCATTCCATGATCCTGGAATTCTGGGATTGCTGATAACCTCTCACGTTCACCTGTCCCACTGGAAGCGGCAGCCGGGGCGTAGCCGGCTGGCACAGCCACCTCCCCAGCGGCAAACTGGGATCTTCCAGCTCTGCCAGAGCCCGGCACGAGTCCCAGGTGCCTCCAAAGCCTCTGGAGAGACCTGGATAGAGGGGGCTGGGAGAAACACCTGCACCTGGACACGTGCTGGAAAATCGGGGGGTGAAATGACCCCAACCCTGCACCTGGACAGCGGCTGCTGGAAAACATGGCATGAGACAGCCAGGATTTCAAAAATTCCTTTTGGGAATCATTCCTCTCCAGCTCCACGTCAGCACCGGCACTGCTGCGGAGGGGAGGCTGGAGAAAGATAAAAAATTAAATCATTTTTAAAAAATGAAATAAAGAAAAATAAAGGGCATCGAGGGCAAAGAGCCACGGCCGATCAAAAATGAAAAATAAGGTTTAAAAGCAACAAAAAAGCAGCACCGTAACAATGAAACGCAGCGTTTCAGCCGCAGAGGGG